CTGGGTGGTGATCAGGCGTTTGAGGAGTCAAATTCGAGATATCGGTGCTGGTGCTCCAATGTCTACAATTGGGGAAAAATATGAATATGTTGCATAAATGATGATCATGTTGTATACGGTAAGCAAGTTGTTGATCAACAACCAAGAAGATATTTATCCCGCTCATATTATGAACTTTGATTTTGAATCTTCTCATAAAGACAAAGAATAAACTAATATCTAAATATGTTTCTGATTTACTGTTATTTCGATTTACATTTCTAGATCTCTTGAAAAGTACCATTACAATTTAATATCTTGAATGATGAAATCGGTACTACAGGAAAAAGCTCAAGAAAAGCCACTTTTCAGGAGGATTTTGAACCAAATGATTTCTGTCCACCAAAACTACATGTCACCCCCCCCCTCCCACCGCCACCCGCAATCTTATACAAATATTCCCACCCCCCCCCCCCCGAAACCAAACCCCCACACAATGGGAATCTTATACACATCTTTAGAGATGTTTCATCAAGCTCCAAGAAAATCATTATTTAAATCGTGAACTCATTTCCCGCCACCCCCCGTCCACACACGCATACCTGCAGTCACCCACAACACCTCCCCACAAATCAAAACAGTTTTCCAGGGGCATCACTTGTCTTTTTTCACGATTTTAAGCAGTTCCATGTCACACATTTTGCACGCGCATTTCCTGCACTCTGGCCCTTTAAATACAGATCAAAATTTCAACATTCATCACTTCAGAAAAATGCCACGCCTTACACAAGAAAACAGGAACAGAGCTATTGGCATGCTGGATCAGGGGGCTTCACAGGTAGCCGTCGCCAGACACTTTAATGTCCACCCATCGATCATTGCTCGCCTCAGACAACCCTTCCACGCCACTGGAAGAGTTGCCGATTGATCCCGACCTTGAGCGACCCCTTTAACAACTGCTGCTCAAGATCGCCAAATCCGACTACAGCATCTGCGTAACAGGTTCCAGTCAGCTACTGCTACTGCCAGGGGAACTGTTGGAACACGGCAACATCAGATCAGCCCTCAACAGTCCGAAGATGCCTGGCAGCTCTTGGGTTACTCTGCCGTCGACCTTACCAAGGTCAAATCCTTTTGCATCGTCATCGACTAGCCAAACAGCAATGGGACGCAAATCAGGGGTGTCTCCACAACACACTATGGCGAAAGGTCATCCTCTCGAATGAATTCCGATTCAACCTCAGTTTTCCTGATGGATGTCACCGTATCTACAGACGTTGACATGAACGCTTTGCTCGTAACCCGATCGAACACCTTTGGGATGAACTTCGACGACGGGTTCGAACTCAAGCCGTGCAACCACGAACTGTTGCAGAGTTGGCACAGGCACTCCAAAATCATTGGCAAACAATCCCACAGCTTGTAGTGAGACATCTGTGCCAGTCCATGCCAAGGCGACTTCAGGCATGTGTAAGAGCTCAGGGTGGACATACCCAATATTGACTTCACATGACCCCTGCTTTGTTTAATGGTTCTCTGATGTTTTGGTTTTGTGCATTTGTAGTGAATTCTTTCATGAAATTATCCACAGATGCTTGTTATCTCGATTTTGTCAATTGTTATGTACATTTGTTAAAAGTTGTTGCACTTTGAATTTGGCATTGCATTTTTAATGGCTTTGAATATACTTATGGAAAGGATATGCTGATAATTACTTGCATTATTTATAAATATTATGAAGCTTTTCCGGTGATCTTTAAGTTTCATCAAAACCTGATAAAAATTGTGAACTCTAGAGGATTCACAACCTTGGCATTACATACTTTTACACTATTTGCATACAGGGAGCAGGCCATTTTGTTTGGCAATTTCGGTGCAATCTTCACATCTTATTATGGTGGAAAGGTGGTATATTGGAACGGTTTTTAAAATTGGATAAATATTTTGATCTCTAGATTTTCCACAAATCTAGATTTTTTCGTACAATCAGTGCCCATAATCCATGAAGATATAAGTGATTATCGAAAGGAATCGAGATCTTTGAGATATAAATATACTTTTCAAGTTTCATTAAAATCGGATAAAAATTGTGACCTCTAGAGGTTCAACAATCTTGGTATTACACATTTTTACAATATTTGCATACCATGAGCGGCCACTTTGTCAGGTAGTTTTGGTCCAGTTTTTACAAAATTTAAACTCAACCATCATTAGGGTGTAACGGTGATACATTAGACCAGTTTTTAAAATCAGATAAAAATTGTGATTTCTAGAGGTTCCACAAGCTAAAAACGCAATTTTTTTGTACAATCAGGGGCCATAATCCATGAAGTTATGGTCCAATATGCGCAAATATGAAAAGGAAAAGAGATGTTTGGGATATAAACATATATTTTAAGTTTTATTAACAACGGATAAAAATTGTGACCTCTAGAGGGTCCACAAGCTAAAAACGTGATTTTTTGTACAGCCAGGGGTGATAACCCATGAAGGTATGGTCCGATACATGCAAATATTGAAAGGAATCGAGATCTTTGGGAGAAAAACCTATATTTCAAGATTCATCAAAATAGGATAAAAATTGTGACCTGTAGAGTGTCCACAAACAAATAGTGGACGGACGAGCGACAACAATACACGTCCGCATGAAAATGTGGGCGTATAAAAAACGTGGTTTTTTGTACAATCAGGGGCCATAATCCATGAAGTTTCAGTCTGATACATGCTAATATCGAAAGTAACCAAGATATTTGGGAGATAAACCTATATTTCAATCGGATAAATATCGTGACCTGTAGAGTAAACAAATCATGGATGGACGGACAAGGGTGACAACAATATATGTCCACATGAAAATGTGGGTGCATAAAAATGGCGAACAACATGTACCATTGTTACGATAAAACAATCTATGCCTCATCTTCTTAAAAATTCAAACAGTGATAACTTCGCTCAAAAAATTTGGAAATAATATGTGGTCTGTAGCTTGAAAATTGACTGAGATACGGGCATTTGAGTTTCATGAGTTAACGATAAGTATTTGAAACAAAATATGTATCTATAATTTACTTGAGTTTCAGATATATTGTTTTTGTCTTCCTAGTGAAGATATACAGCTGTTAAAGACCTTTTTGTTTAGATTACGAATCTGAAAACAGATTACAGGTGAGTGGTAGGGTTCGCATGCTACTTGGCCATGAAAATTTGAATGAAATTTTCAATTTATTCATTTTGCATTATCAATTTTTTAACTGTTACAGCAAAAACGGACAGCTCTTTATCTAAATGTTACATAATGCATCTTTAACAACAGAGGCAGTATTAAACAACAAGTTGCGTTTTGATGCACCCAAAATTGAACACATTGAAGATCTGTTGATCTGAATCAGACAAACATTGTAGCCTCTGGAGGGCCTACAAACTTCATATATATTTTATATTTGTGTGAAAAGCAGGGGCTATAACTCTAAAATGGAAGGACTGGTGCGTACCAATTGAACTAATCCAAAAACTTTTGATCATTAACACATATTTTAAGTTTCATCAAATTCAGACAAAAATTGTGGCCTGTATTTGGTCCACAACCTTGGTATAACAGGTATAACAAGCTTTTACATGATTTGAGTAAACGGGAGTGGCCATTTTGACAGTTTGATCTCAACTATAATTATGGTGTAACAGTGATAAATTTTTTAAAATTGAAATAAAGTTAGGTTGCCAGGCAAGGAAACCTACGCCCACAGCATCTAAGTTGCCCGAGCAGTCAACAAGAGCTGTCGCATATTTTTTCTATTGTCGGTAATGAAACATTTATAATACACTAAAATCTGATTAAGAGTAACAACTCATTAAGTAATTATCAGAAAATCATTAGAATTTGTTTGGCTTTTAGTTCTGCCCCATGCTATCGTTTAGTATATGAAACATTTAATATCATGGATTTAGCTGTTCAAGTTATCAAAATTCATTGAAAATCAATATACTTGCTTGTCTCAAGACCTTAAACTCTGTGTATCAATCTAAAGTCAATCGAATGACAACTTTGGTCAATAGGGCAACCCCAAGTGATCAAGGGCCATAACTCTAGCAGTAATCATTGGAAATCATTGAAAATCACTAGGCTTCTTCATCTCACTGTGTGTACATTTAAAGTCAATCGGATATTAACTTTAGCCTCTAGAGTCCACAAGATTTTTCAAAGCGATCAAGGGCCATAACTCTGGCAGTAGCCATCGAAAAATCAGTGAAAATCAATAAGCTTCTTTGTCTCATGACCTCAAACACTGTTTATAAATCTAAAGTCCACAAGATATTTTGAAGTGATCAAAGGCCATAACTTTGGCAGTAATTATCGGATATCATTGAAAATCAATAGGATTCTTTCGTCTCATGACCTTAAACCGTGTGTATAAATTTAAAGTCAATCAGATATTAACTTTAGTCTCTAGAGCATCCACAAGCATCAATTTCATCATAATTGGATAAAATTTGAAATTACAATCCAATACATGGCAATATCCAAAATCAAATGTGAACAAAGACACAGGGGCGAGAGCATAGTACGTCCACATGACCAAAACTTTTCTTAAAACTAATCAAAAGTTTTGTACGAGCATTTCAATTATTTTTTTTTTCCACTTAGTATCAGTAATTTAGTTCTGAGTAAGGGAAATAGACTGTCCATCAGTCTGCTCACTCTGCTGTTAGATAGCAGTCGCATGACCCAATTACAATCCAATACATGGCAATATCCAAAATCAAATGTGAACAAAGACACAGGGGCGAGAGCATAGTACGTCCACATGACCAAAACTTTTCTTAAAACTAATCAAAAGTTTTGTACGAGCATTTCAATTATTTTTTTTTTCCACTTAGTATCAGTAATTTAGTTCTGAGTAAGGGAAATAGACTGTCCATCAGTCTGCTCACTCTGCTGTTAGATAGCAGTCGCATGACCCAGGGAGTTTCCTGTACCGGTAATGTTACAAAGTGAAATTTATCTGGAGTAGAATTCTACTTACTAGGTGATCCAACTTCGGCCATAAAATGCCATATTTTAATACAATCATCTTTTCCACCTGATGCCAACAGTAAATTAGCAGCAGACACTGAGTGGGTTTCTACAAAATTCAAATACACATGACTAGATGAAACACTTGTTGTTAATCAGTTACATAAAAAAAACATCTTTGGCCAACAAAAACATCAGTAGAAATATCACTTGGCATGGGCCAAGAAAGATTTAAGGCAAGCAGGACTCGTGCTGTCGGTCGCCAAAGTCGCAATATGTGATAAAAATATGAAAGTGGTGATTAAAATTTGATTTTGGCGATAACATTTTGCAGTACTGGCAACTCTTTTTGAGAGCTGTCGGAAAAAAATCTTAAAATTCTAATCGTATTTGTAGCGTATCATATTATCGTCGCCAAAATGCTCTAAGAAATGAAATGGGGTTTAACGTCCTACTGTTTTGCTCCTAAACTGGGCTAATGAAGACGGGCATACGCCATACAGTGTGCTATGAGGGAAATTTTGCCCGGGCAGCGGCGCTACGGCCTACTCTTATATCGAATTCCAACTGCCAAGGGATCTTTTACGTGCACGCCAATTTGATCACGGGACCTCGGTTTTTCGTCCCATCCGAACAACTAGACAGCTGTCCTTGTCAGGCCCTCCATCCTGCATCACTGACAAGGGGAAACCACGCCGGAAAATCTGGATGAACTTTCTCGGCAAATGCAGGGATCGACCACTCGATCTCCCGGCTAGCGAGCCAACGTCTTACCCACTTAGCCACGTGATCCCCCTCTAAAGTGAACTACGTCTATAATTGTAAGCATCTCTTATATATAAAAATAACTGACCCAAACGAATGTGCGGAAGTCTTAAATGGTGATCTTGAGAGAATAAACCTTTGGGCTAAGACGTGGCTTTTTGGCAGATAAAATATTCCAGTTGGCGTAAAAAAAAAATATATATATAAAAATTATCATCCATTTTGGATGAAAAAAATTGAAAGCCAGTGTGAGCCCTAAGGGTTTTGTCATTGATAAAGGGGCCCAATTACAGGAAGTAGATTAGAAAAGTACATGTTTTAGAACAGTTTTTCACATCCTAGGGCCCGTAAAATTATTTTTAGGGTCCCCAAAGTCAAAGGGGTTATATGTGTGAAAAAAAGGCAATTAAAATGGAGTCGGTTATGTTTAGTATTTGAAATGAAATGAAATGGGGGTTACGGTTCAGCTCCAACTGGGTTAAGGGAGATGAACATACGCCATACAGTGTGCTATGAGGGCAATTTCGCCTGGACAGCAGCACTACGGCTCACAGTTATACCAAATTCTAACTGCCAAGGGTTATTTTACGTGCACCCCAATGTGTACACGGTACTTAGGTTTGTTATCCAATCCAAACGACTCAACCTTGTCCCATCCATCCTGCATCACTGTGGCTCGTTTTTAGTAATCGAAATATGAATTTCTGTTGCTAATATCAAAGTCCCATTTATTCTCCTGATGCAATTAATTTTATGCCACCTCTTTTCTATTAAAATCCAAAATTATCACTAATTGTCTATTGTGCATAAACTTGCTATATCTGTATTATTAATTTATTTATCCGCTTTTAATACCACACTTTCACAAATTGTAGTGGGATTTTGGTTTTTTTCCTATATGGGCGATTTTATTAATTATTATTTATAACAAAGTTTTACGCGTTGCTTGACCTATTGAGACACAAGAAGATTGAATTTTTTTATATACAACTGTTGAACTGAGTGCCAAGCATATAAAATGTCATTTAGCAACATTAATTATTGTATAAAAAAGTGAAACATTAATTTACATTTATCAAGTTTCAAAGAACTCGACTATCTGTCGTTTCTTAAATCTCTTACATCGGAAATATTGCTTGAACAGCTAAAACTAAGAGTGTAACAAATTCTTTTTTATTGACAAAAAGAAAGCCATTGTGGACACCTTGAAAAACCAGCGGCTGCCAGGCAGGATACTACAGTGGCCCATATACGACTTTTAAATATTTTTTAGTTTTGGGTTTTGTTTTTTAGTTTTAGGTTTGTTTTTTTAGTTCTCACCTAGGTGAAAACGTTTTCACCTTTTCACCTCGGTGGAAACGTTTTCACCTAAGTGATAACTTATCACAGAATTTTACGTACAATCAGGGGCTATAATTCAGGAAGTTATGGACCGATATGACCGGATATCAAAAGGAAACAAGATCTTTGGGTTATAAACTTACATTTCAAGTTTCAACAAAATTGGATAAAAATTGTGACCTCTATAGGGTCCACAACCTTGATATACCATATTTTTATGCTATTTGAGAATGAACGGCGGCCATTTTGTCTGTCAGTTTTGGGCCGATTTTCACGAAATTCGAACTCAGTCGTCCTTAGGGTGTAACGGTGATATAAAAATACGTTTTTTTAAATCGGATAAAAATTATAACCTCTATAGGGTCCACAAGCTAAAAATGCGATTTTTCGTACAATCAGGGGCCATAATTCAGGAAGTTACAGTCCGATATGCGCGAATATCGAAATGAACCGAGATCTTTGGGTTATAATCATACATTTCAAGTTTAAACTAAATCGGATAAAAATTGTGACCTCTACAATTGTGTTCACAAGCTAAAAACGTGATTTTCGTAAAATCAGGGGCCATAATCCATGAAGTTAAAGTCTGATACATGCCAATATCGAAAGGAACTGAGATCTTAGGGTGATAAACCTATATTTCAAGTTTCATTGAAATCATATAAAAATTGTGACCTGTAGACGGACGGATAGACAGGGGCAACGACAATATACGCCCACATGAAAATGTGGGCGTATAAAAACCCATAAAGATTATGCTAAATCCAAAGAAACCTTTCGACTTTTCTACTTTGTATACTATTACTATGCTTCAATATTTCTATTGGTTCTTTCATGTATTCAGTACTAGGCTTGAAATTTATACACAGTGTTTAAGGTTATGAGACACAAAAGCCTACTGATTTTCAACAATTTCCGATAATTACCTCCAGAGTTATGGCCCTTGATCCCTTTGAAAAATCCTATGGACGCTCCATAGGCTAAAGGTTATATCTAATTGACTTTAAATTTATAAACAGTATTTAAGACGCTCTAGAGGCTAAAGTTGGTATCCGATTGACTTTGGATTTATACACAATGTTTAAGAGATGAGGAAGCCTTTTGATTTCCAATGATTTATGATAATTACTGTTACGGTTATGGTCCTTGATCACTTTGAAAAATCTTGTGGACGCCCTAGAGCCTTAAGTTAATATCTGACTGACTTTAATTTTATACACAGTGTGTAAGGTTATTGATTTCCAGCGATATCCGATAATTACTGCCAGTGTTATTGCCCTTGATCACTTTGAAAAATCTTCTGGACGCTCTACTAGCGGCTCTAGAGACTAAAGTTGGTATCCGATTGACTTTAGATTTATATACAGTGTTAAGTGTCATGAGATGGGGAATCCTATTGATTTCCAACAATTTCCGATAATTGCTGCCAGAGTTATGGCCCTTGGTCACTTTGAAAAATCTGGTGGATGCTCTACAGTTAATATCCCATTGACTCGAAATTTATACAGATTGTTTAACTTCATGAGAGGGGGATGCCCATTGATTGTCAATGCTTTCCGATAATTACTTCCAGAATTATGGCCCTTGATACTAAATGTTTTGTATAGTAAACGTTTGTAGAGGGCAGAACTAGAAAATAAACAAATTCTACTGATTTCTGATAATTACTTAATGGGTTGTTACTCGTACTCAGATTTTAGAGTCGTAAATGTTTTCATTACTGACCAAAGAAAAAAAATATGTGACAACCCTTGTTGACTGCCCGGACGACTTAGCTGCTGTGGGTTCCCTTTTGTGCTAAGAGGTTGATTTGCTTCGTCTTTGCAATTCCTTTTGTTAAAAGGTTCTTTGACACTTCTAAAAAAATTTTGTATTTTGTAGTTTATTCATTTTGACTAAAGTACACATAATTATTTATGTACACATAATTATGTTATATATTATAGAGAATGTTGAATATTTAAAAAATCTTTTTCACCAGAATTTGCGTGAATGTGAATTTTTTGCATTCATGGCAAAATAAAGTGCAGTGTGTCTGAATTCAATAAAACAGCGGCTGCCAGACAGAATATGCCCACATTTGCGAGAGATGGATAGAGAACAAGCTAAAAAGAAAGTGATTTTTCCTACAATCAAGGGCCATAATTCAGGAAATTACAATTCGATATGAGCAAATATCGAAAGGAACCGAGATCTTTGTGTTATAAACTTACATTTCAAGTTTCAACAAAATCGGATAAAAATTGTGACCTCTATAGGGTCCACAAGCTCAAAAGGTGATTTTTCGTACAAACAGTGGCCATAATCCATGAAGTTTTGATCTGATACATGACAATATCGAAAGCAACCAAGATCTTTTGGAGATAAACCTATATTTCAAGTTTCGTCAAAATCGGATAAGAATTGTGACCTGTAGAGTGTCCACAAACAAATTGTGGACGGACGGACAGACAGGGGCGACGACAATATACGTCCACATGAAAATGTGGGCGTATAAAAATTGTGATCTCTATAGGGTCCACAACCTTGATATACCATATTTTTACGCTATTTGAGAACGAAGGGAGGCCATTTTGTCTGGCAGTTTTGGACCGATTTTCACAAAATTTGAACTCAGCCATCCTTAGGGTATAACGGTGATATAATAATACGTTTTTTTAAATCGCATAAAAATTATGACCTCTATAGGGTCCACAAGGTAAAAACGTGATTTTTCGTTCAATCAGGGGCCATAATTCAGGAAGATATGGTCCGATATGCACGAATATCGAAAGGAACCGAGATCTTTGGGTTATAAACTTACATTTCAAGTTTCAACAAAATCGGATAAAAATTGTGACCTCTATAGGGTCCACAAGCTAAAAACGTGATTTTTCATACAAACAGGGGCCATAATCCATGAAGTTTTGATCCGATACATGTCAATAACGAAAGCAGCCGAGATCTTTTGGATATAAACCTATATTTCAAGTTTTGTCAAAATCGGATAAGAATTGTGAACTG